ATGATGATTATTCCGATGATGATTCTGATTTGGATGATGGTGATGACGATGACGATAGCGATGATGATGATGATGCTGCTGATGATGCTGGTGATGCTGCTGCTGATGATAATGGTGATGATGCTACGAAAGAGGATCGGGCGGATTATGGTGGTGAGGAGGAGGACGAGAACGAGGACGAGGATGAAGAGGGGAAAGAAGGAATGCGAGGAGGAAAGGAGGGAGGAGGAACCAGGAACGAGGAGGGGCCATGAACGAGGAAGGGCGACGAGGAACGAGATACGAGAAGGAGGAGGAGGAGGAGGAGGAGGAAAAGGAGGAAAAGGAGGAAGATGAGGTGGAGGAGGAGGATGAAGTGGATGATGATAATGCGGAGTTGGAATGGGAGGATGAGAAGGAGAAAGGCCAGTGTAAACCCGAGGCTTATCAACGATATTGCAATCAGCTCTCCCTCAAAGTTACTTCTTCATAGGTCCTACAATGTTTTAGTTTGACAGGGAAGTGCCCCGTTGGAAGACAGCCGTTTGGAAATCTTAGAGCTTGCCAACGCATTCTACCTGTGACCTTAACGCCGAGAGTCAATAGTACTGGTGCGCCCTGACGATCCCGAATCATGCCAGAGCACCGTTGCTGGGACTTCAGCACCGCGAATCAACGTGACTGTTGCGCCCTGACAGTCCGACATCGCGACAAACACCATATCTGGAACGTCAGCCATAAGAGTCTTTAAGCTGTCGTATATTCTTACGACGAGTGCGCGCGTCGCTCAGCGAGAGCCACAGTTTGAAGCGGATTCGCCTTCCATCCGTCAGACGAAGCGCGGCGTCAAGGCGAGAGCCACATTTTGAAAAGGACCCGCCTTTCATCCGTGAAACTGTTGCACATTTTGAGCGTCAGGGCCATTAGCGGTATGGAAGTCTCAGACGAATTGGCCGGCCCGCCCTACCAGCACGTCTCGGAGTGCGATAGGGATGAGTTGTTGATGCCAAAAAAGGAATGGAGGAGGAGGAGGAGGAGGAGGAGGAGGAGGAGGAGGAGGAGGAGGCGAGTAGGAGCGAGTAGGAGCGAGGAAGGGCGGAAACCGAAGCGACGGGAGCAGGAGGAGGATCAGGACCACTGTAAACCCAAGAACCACCAACGATTTTGGAAGAAACCCTTCCCCCAAGCTCTTTTTTTTGTAGGTCTCTACAACGGTTCATTTCCACAGAGGGACCTTCTTCGTTGGAAGGCGATAGTTTTCAGACCCTGAAGCATGCCAGAACATTGTTCTCGGGTTTCCAACGCCACGGATCAGTCTGAGTGTTGCGTCTTGACGGTCCTGAATCGTGCCAGAACGCCATTCTTGGGACTTCAACACCGCGAATCATCGTAACTGTTGCGCCCTCATAATGGTGAGCCCCTCCCAAACAGAATTTTTGGTACGTCGATCATCGGAATACGCGAACCTCTTGCATTTTTTAAAACAAGAATGTGCGTGGCGCTACGGCGACAACCACAGGTTGAAAGGGAGCCGCCCTCAATCCTTGAACCTCTTACAAATTTTTGAAACGAATTTGCGCGGCGCTGAGGCGAGAGCCACATTTTGGCAACGACTCGCCCTCAACCTGTGAAACTCTAACCCTTGCAAGCTTTTAACATGAATGTGCGCTGCGCTCAGGCGAGAGCCACATTTTGAAAACCACCCGCCCTTCATCTGCGAAACTGTTGCCACTTTTTCAGCTTCAGGGTTAAAAGCGATGAGGAAGTATCAGGCGAAGCGCCCAGTCCGCCTTACAAACTGGCCTCGGGGTGCGACAGGGAGACGTTATATATAAGGAAATGGAATGGACGAGGAGGAGGCGGAGGAGGAATGAAAAGGAGGAGGAGGATGAGGAGGAGGAGGAGGAGGAAACGGAGGAGGAGGAGGCGGAGGAGGAGGAGAAGGAGGAGGAGGAAGAGGAAGAGGAGGAGGAGGAGGATATGGAGGAGGGGGAGGAGGTGGAGGCGGAGGAGGAGGAGGCGGAGGAGGAGGAGGAGGAGGAGGACCGAGGAGGAGGACGAGGAAGAGGAGGAGGAGGAGGATCAGGAGGAGGATGATGATGAGGAGGAGGAGGGGAGGAGGAACGAGGGGGAAGAGGATGAGGAGGATGATGATGATGAGGAGGAGCAAGATGATGATGATGATGATGATGATGATGATGATGATGATGATGATGATGATGATGGATGATGATGCTGATGATGATGATGATGATGATGATGATGATGATGATGACTATGATGATGATGATGCTGATGATGATGATGATGATTATGATGATGATGACTGATGATGATGATGATGATGATGATGATGTGATGATGATGATGATGATGATGATGCTGATGCTGATGATGATGATGATGATGATGTGATGATGATGATGTGATGGTGATGGTGATGTGATGATGATGATGATGATGATGATGATGATGATGATGATGATGATGATGATGGTGGTGGTGATGATGATGATGATGATGATGATGATGATGATGATGATGATGAGGAGGAGGAGGAGGAGGAGGAGGAGGAGGAGGAGGAGGAGGAGGAATAGGGGCAGCGAAGA